CTCACCTTGTCGATGGGCGACAAGCTTCACTTGGCACCGCTAGACAAAAGCAAGGTAGGTGACGGGCTCATCGGCGGTGGCTTGCTCATCGGCCTGAACTAACGAAACCCTAAATAGCTAAACAAAGCGCTGGATATTGGGACAGGAACAGGTGAGCGGCGCTTATGTCATTCTCGGCTCATGAAGTCAGGCTAATGGCATCGTAGGTATCTGGGCTATGTAAGTCCCTGCTCAGAAATTCGGCATGAGTACGTGATGCAAGAGGCTGAACTCTGTATAGTGATTTTGCCGACGAGAACCCCGAATGTGAAGTCATTGGAACGGACATCTCCCCAATCCAACCTAGCTGGGTTCCTCCTAACCTGAAGTTGTGAGTACTCGAAGCGTCAAGATCCAGCAGCTGGTGCCGTTGATGACCCCACACAGTGAAATTGACGACTGCACGCGCGAATGGACCTTCGAGCCAGAGTCCTTTGACTATGTTCACATCCGCTTCCTGGTCGGCAGCATCGCGGACTGGCCCGCGCTGTTCAAGCAGGCGTACAGGGCCCTGAAGCCGGGCGGATACCTGGAGAGTTTCGAGGTCTCGCCGGCCATCATGAGCGACGACGGGACCGTCCCGGAGACTAGCGCGCTGGGCCAGTGGGGTAAGTTCTTCGAGGAGGGCGGCCGGAAAATGGGTCGAACGTTCCGGGTCCTCGACGAGAACTTGCAGAGGACGTCGATGGAGGACGCTGGCTTTGAGAGCATCACGGAGTGGAACAATAAGGTAGATGAGAGCCCTTTGAAGGATGACCTGCGCTTTCGGTATCAGAGGAAAGACTAACATGGGAAATGATAGGCCCCCATCGGCAATTGGCCAAAGGACGAGGTGAAGAAGGAGATTGGCGAGTGGGCTCAGCTGACGCTCCTGTCGGACATTGAGGGCTACGTTCTTTTCATGGCCAACGTCATGTCGACTTGGTCCCGTGAGGAAATCCACATCTATGCGGCGCAGCTGCGTCGCGAGATCCGGTCTGGTAAGCTGCATGGGTACTACCGCCAGAGAGCAGTCTGGGGACAGAAGCCTCTGAAGACCGAGGCGTAGTCCCGCTCTTCGCTACTACCTTGATTACTCTTGATTTCATCTGAGCTAGCGAGCGTGAATAAGCATATGCAGCCGAGTTCATCGAATTGGATGCCTCTCCACCACATTGGCTTGCACCTGTCTCATTGTGAAAGGAGTCTAGCCGCCGAGGCTCACACTTCAGAGATGAACGTGACCCGTAGGTGCGTCGGGTCGAGCCGACTCAATCAGCTTATACTATGCTCAGTAAGGCAAGGGCATCCGCATCTGGAAGGTGAATCTTATATAAAGCACAGGATTCAGGGTGCTGAGTGAGCTACTTGAGCTTCGAGGTGGAACTCCGCCGGTCTCGATGTTACGTGGAAGTTGACGATGGCTTCAGATAATTCAAGGCTCCAGCATCGCTGAAGATGAACCGTCGCCGAAAATGAGTATAAAAGAAGGCTACTTAAGCCTGCTTACTCTGTCACCGAATTTCGTATCATCTTCAACCATCCGGGCAACTTGAACAGTCACCACAACTATCTCACTCTGCTTTGCGACATCGAAGCCGGCAAAATGAAGTTCAACTTGCTCGCCCTTGCTGCTATTGTATCACTGGCCATGGCCGCGCCGGTCCGTTTCCCCTCTGGCCGTCATCTGAGTTCATAGTGCCTGTGTCTAACACGTAGTCAACGTATAGGTAGCCGACAACGCTGTCGTTGAGGGCGCTGGTGGCTCCCCAGGTGGAAAGCCCTGGAAGCGCGATGTCGCTGTCACTGAGGACTATCCTGGTGGAAAGGACTGGTAGTGCAACGATGCGCCATCGATGCCTCATGTTCTCTTCCATTGGACTGCGAACAGAGCCTCAGTTTGTTAGGTAGCTCATATCGCATGTGCAACGCCTCTGACGCTCGAGGGAATTGGATAGACATACTGCAGACGAAAGCTGCTTGTGTAAAGCTGCATATGGCATTCAAGCTCGGTTCTAATCCTGAGTAGTTCTACTCATATGAATGACCTAAGTTCGCACGACTAAAGGTATCTCGTTTGCTCATAATATCACGTCAAGTATGAATTTCCCACACGTTGAGAATGCCAGAATCATTTCTGGCATGGTGCCCATGCAAACACCGCCCAACCACCATGTACTGCCCATTCCCAGAGAAGGCAGCCGACACCGCGAACCCAGACTCTAACCTCGCTGAGTAGACCACCTTTCCAGTCGCCAGATCCGTGGCATCAGCACCATCGTCTGACCGGTACACAACCCACCGCAGGTCAGGCGAGATCGCCAACGGGACGCCCTCGCTCCCCTTTGCCGTCTCAAGGTTGTAGCTGTTCATCGCGCCGCTCTCAGGGTCCCATATCGTCACCGTCCTGCCCCAAATCGATGCAATCACTCCCGCCGGGCTCACAGCAAGCCGGAGCGGGTTCCTCCAGTCCTCCATCTCGATCTTGGCAATGTTCCGGCCAGTTTCGACATTCGTGATCCTCAGCGTCCCGTCCTTGGACGCGGTGACGAGCCTGGTGCAGTCCGCCGTCCACTCCGCGTGCGTGACTTCATCAGTGTGGCTGCGGATGACGCTGTACCCCTGCCCTTTGGCGGCCGTGACGATCTCGACACGATTGCGTACTCCCTTGATTGCCAGAAGCTGGCCGTCGGGGCTAAAGGAAAAGGCGCGGATCCCATGCCACTGCAGGATGAACCTGCGCGCACTGGGGCTGTTGTCGTTGACCCATTCGACGACGTACAGGGCCGGCCTCTCGAAGTGGACCATGTCATGTGAGGTTAGAATCGGCTTAGGGAACCGGTTGACGTATTCATCGTGATGCTCCGTCGTTACGGCGACGAGGTCCATCAGCGGGGAGAAGACCATGTTCACGCCTTTCACTTTCATGGTGCGCCTGCGCTCTCCTGAGGCGGCGTCGAAGAGACTGATGTCTTTGAAGAAGTTGGAGACGGCGAAGGACGTCGGGTCTATTGCGGAGGTGAAGCGGATGTCGACAGGTTCCTTTTCCAGGTTCATGGTGATCTTGCCGACGTGACGGAATGTAGCGTGGGCGGGAGCTGGTGCGAGGAGAGTCGGGTATGGGTTCACGTCTCCGTCTACGCTTGGTGCGGCGGACATGGAGTAGGTTGAAGAGCCGGCGTTGTCGGCGGTGACGGAAAGTCTCGCCATGTCTGATGCCGGAACCGTGGTCGACTGGTTGTCTATGAAGGTCCGGAGGAAGTTGAGGAACCCGGCGAGCTTCTGTGGCGATATGCTCTGGTCTGATGCGGGTTGTCGGTTCAAGATCTCCTTGATGGAGTTGATCTCCTGGAGGATCGCGCTGGTAGCATATGGGGGGGACTCGCCGGCCTCCTCTGCTCTTTGAAGATGTCGGACCCTGCTGTGTCTCAGTATCTCACCAACATCTCGTAAGCAACTGAGTGGGCAAGCTTACAGGTCTAATGCATCAACCGCCAGGCCCATTGTCCTCCTGCCCGTGGTCAAATGTGAGTTGAGGGCCGAGGCGCGGCTGGCTGCACTCCTCCACGCATCGTCACCGCGCCGAGACAGCGACCATCGGGACTTCTCAGGTCCCGTGTCAGTGACAGACCCTACGATCTGGCTGATGACCTCATTGCAGAATGCCGGGACGCATCGGATTTCGCTCAAGAGCTGGTCCTCTCCTTCGCAACTCGCTACATTGCGTCGAAGTGCGACGATGCTGTCCGAGAGTGAGAGGACTTGTTCTTGCACGGGGGAGAGCTGTGCTTCGGCTTCAGGATGGGTCGCAGTGAAGTCACGTAAAGCTGCGGTGGCCGGTGACAGACCGGCTTGCAGCTGATGGCATTCTGAATTGACACTGCTGGCGTCTGACGTGCTCATGATGGTGTGATACTTGATCGAATGTCTTGGGAGTACATGGCGTTGAGCTTCATTCCGCGGCGGCAGTTGTCGCGCTTATGAATTAGCGAAATGCTTAACTTGCACCCCATCAGGCAGCCAAGTTTCGAAGCGGCTATGCTCAAGGCTGGGAATGCCAAATGATGTCAGGGGAACTTGAGTGCAGATCTGTCGTGGCACAGTCAGCACTTGAGCTTCTCTTTGGTTTAGTGCTCTTCACTGAGATGACTTTTTAGAGACCTTGCGCCACTGTGGTGGTGTCACTACCGGTGCTAACAATTCTCCAATGAGGACCAAAGGTCATTAACTGTGCTACAGGTAGGGCTGCGTCGTCTCTCCCGTTGTTCCACCCATGCGATCCTGATCCTGCCGGTGATTCTTGCATGTTGTCATCTTTTATGTATGCCGTGACCTGGTTTCCACCATGCCACGGACGGTGAATTAGGGATGGATGCTGCCGGCTTCTCACAAGATTATCAGGGAGTGCGGCACTTTACCTTACCGTGCGCTGCCCGCGTGTTGAGATCGTCGCCTTACAAATTCAACACTAGCCATGGCAACTTCTCGTGTTCGCGCTGCTCTTGCAACAGACTATTGAAGGTCGTTACAAAGTCTCTGAATCGTACTGCGTTCTAGCTCTATTGACGGCAATTTGGGGCTTTCAGTTGATGTTGGCTGAGGGCTTCTGGCACCTCCACTCTACCAAGCACGGACGTAGATCTATAGGCTTGCTAGGCGCCTCCCCACTCAACCAACTATCACTGGATGTCAACATCCACCAATCCCCGATAGTCTAGTGGTGAGGATATCTGCTTGTCACCGGGGAAATCCCACGATTCGCAGGGGACCGGGGTTCAATTCCCCGTCGAGGAGTTCTTTTAACTTTTGAGGCTCTTGTGTGCCGATTTTGCTTTTTCCTATTATGCATTCTCTTTTTAAGTCACTTGTGCTTCCGTTGGCTTATTTAGAAATGCAGATATAAAGTAGTTGGTTGCGTGATGAAGCTTCAAACAGAGGACGACCGATTTGACTCCATGCCTACTCCATTCGCATATCCCTAACTATGCAAGAACAAACCCTGCGCCGTTCGAGATAGTCACGTAGTTGGGCCTAGGAAGCTCCTCCTCGGTTTCCCTGGCCTCTTCCTCCAGGCCTATTTCCAAAGTCTTGTCTCCATAGTTGAAGAACCAGGTCAAGAACCCGGTATACTGGATGCCTTCTTGGCAATGGATCCAATACTTTGGTGAATGCTTCCGCTGGATTTTCAGAGCATTAGCTACCCCCTTGGTCTTGAGTCCAACGCCAGCCTCGTTGATTGGGTGCGTCATTGCAATAACCTTCGCGTCGGGGTTCATCTCCATGGCGGCTTCGACGATACCGGGGTCAACTCCGTGAGGGCTGTACAAAATGACTTCGTCTTTTCCATTCGCAGCTGCGATTTTGATGACGATGGCATGGTAAAGGTTCGGGTACTTCTTTGTCTCGTCTTCAAGCCGGAAGATGGACAGCCACTCGGGCATCTCTGGCGTAGCGGGCCACGCCTGGCCACGTACAAAGTCCGGAAGAACGTGGACGTTGTGAAAGTGCTTCATTGCAGAGATCGTGGTGGCGGCGTCTTCTACGGCAAGGACTTTGAGTGATGGATCAAAGGTTCGCAGCGTCGGTTGGTGTAGGTGATCCGGATTGGTATGGGTGACGGTCACCGCATCGAGCCAGTGCTCGTCATCTTCCTTGGAGCCCCCGACTGCCTCCTCAATCTCTCAGACTAAATCTTCGCAGGACTCGATGGTTTCTAGCACCGATTTTTCCTTGAGCGATAGCCGCAAGAAGTAGCTAATGAGCATGTCACTGACGCCAAAGAGCCAAGGGTCTTGCAAGACATGGTAAAAGACCTTTTTACCGGTCCCTCCTGCAGGTCTGGGGATAGAGATGAGCCATGCGTTGTCGCAGTTTGCGAGGGTTACGATAGGTCGTTTGGGGGTTTGTCTCGCTGCGGCGAGTGTTGCGATGAGATTCGCGCGGTCCATGATGGGGGTTGAGAAATGGTGGTGGTGAGTACGCGACCAAAGATGAATTGTGCATTGCGGGGGGAAACGTCAATAAGTACTATGGTGATAATGATATTGATCAGCATGGCGAAGTCGAATGTGTTTGAAGCCCAACAAGGGACAATTTGCATCCAACCAATGTCAACCTCTAGAATCAGCCTGTCAGATTTTAGTTTACCATGTCAGCGCTCTCATGGGATTCATATCCAATGCAGTCTCTTTGAAGGATTCGCCTGTGAGTTGGTGCAATTAAATGGAATGATTCTGATAGGCAAATAAGATCACAAACGATAGAAATGTCACAACTTTGCATATGCCCAGAAACCAGGATCCGATTCACCTTGGTGGTTGCAGTTTACGACTTACGCTATTTGTATGGATTATTATAGCGCACGCTGTGAATGTCAATTCTGTTCCATTCAAGATAGCTGTACTCAGTAACATTCTGAATCTTCCTTAAATTCGATTGGCTGGGTTAGCAGTCGATGACATTTTATTGTACATCTTTGAAGTTGACGATTTGATACCATGATGGAAGCTCGTGCCAGGCATCTTTTGTGGGGCGAATTAGCGCTCTGGCAGATACCGCTAGTTTCTTGGTTCAAAATGTAAGCGCCCCCTCATTCCTCCATGAATCCACGAGGCAACACGTATTACTCAGATCTGAACTTTCTCAAAATCGACGTCTTCATTACAACGTTGAAAGCCCGCTCAAGTCCTCACGAAGGCAGCGATCTCTTCGAATCCACTCCGTAGTCGGTAAAACCCCACCCTGGCTAGGTCTGACCTTCCCATGCTGCATTAGAAAGTCTAGATCTTTAGGGTACCAAATGTGCCCCAGCCATGTGGATAGAAGCTTGGCAAGGTCTGAACTGTATCGTAAAATAACCCGACAACTCGGGACAAACTGAGGCCACAGCTAGAGAATGTAACCAAAAATACAGAAAAGTCAACTCAGCACAAGCCAAGATGTCACCAAATCTTCAAGGTCATGGTTATGTTTTAGTGACAACATCGACGGCATTGCTGACTCGGTTACGTAGTTGCTATTGGTTACAACCCCATAGCGGTCTCCACTTGCCGCTTTGTCGTCGGAACCGGATGAAAGCGGAGCACATAAAACCAAGACACCTCGCCATCTTGGCGAGTAAGGAGTCGTTCTTTTTTCCTAATCTGGTCATGGCTAGTCGCGTTTCTCTTCTCATCTACAATTCTGCATCAGCACAAACCACTCAGATTGAGTTCAACGACCTGTAGCATCTAATCCCACCGGAATCACAAACTCAAATCACATGCAATTTGGTCTGGGGGGAGGGAAGTTTCTATCAACATCACACGTAGCACAAAACCTCACCTCACCTCACAAAATCGGCTAATGCCGGGCGGATTTCAATGGCTGCTCAAGCTCACAGGCGCTCTCGCAACGGTTCGTCAACCCGCACTCGACGAGGCTGACAAACGCGTCGAAGTCTCATCGCGCTTGGCTCTTTCTACCGTCTCTTGGCGTAGGATCTAACTTTTCTCTGCTCTTGACACAGGATGCGGGACATGTCGAACAGCCCGTATCAAGTGCGACGAGGCGCGCCCGTTCTGCAAGCAGTGCGAGCGTCGTGGTGTCGAGTGTGTCGGATACCAGATACATCTGAAATGGGTTGAGATCAGCGATATCAGCCCGGATAGCCAATCTGCAAGCAAGAGCGTCATCAAACCCCGAAGTTCTTTGACGATTTGTCCATCAAAAAAGTCGGCCGCGTGTAGGAAAAAAGCTATCCCCCCGACATCCGTAGCACGCAGTCTGTCAGTGGGCCCGAAACTTCATTCGTCGTCAGATGCCTTCATTTTCAGACACTGGGCCGACTCTTTGCCGGATCTTGTATATCCCAACCCTGAAGAATACGCTACCATACGGCAACCATATCTTGCCTTTGTCTGGAAGGAAAATTCCATCCTTCTTCCAGCGGTCCTGGCTGCCGGGTCCGCCCATCTTTACGCACTCGGGAAGCTCAAACATGCAGAAACTCTCGAAAGGAAACAGAGAGCACTCTCCACAATGGTGGCCTGCGTAAAGCAGCCTAGAACCATATCGAATCCCCAGTTTCAGACGTCGTTCCCAGTGTATTTGAGTGAAGAGGCAATTGCAGCATCAGCAGCGCTCGTTGGCATGGAAATCATGCAAGGGTCGCATACACCATCAATCATCCCTCTTCTTCGAGGCCTTAAAGCGCAAATGCAAGAAAGACACAATTTACGACAAAGAGTGGCCGCAAATTGGCCAATCGAAAAGGACACACCAATGATGGCAGTGAACGTCAAGATGATGGCTTACATCGACACGTTCTGCTGCGTACCTTGCGCAACACATCCAGTCTTTGACGAGCAGGCCTGGCAAGATCTCATCCTCCCAAAATGTCAAGACTGCTCTGCTGCCAATGGGCCAGACATTGTTTTCGGCTACTCGATGCACATTTTGCCGGTAATTGGAGCAGCAGCCTCGCTGGTTGACGACTTCTTCCAAACGATGATTACGCCCGAGGACTTTGTCTCTTCTCGATGTCATCTCCTAGAAAAACTTGAATCAGCTTGCCAAGATCTTCCACCTCCTCAACATCAGCCAGATCCAAATACTGATCCATCGGCTCCGCCAACGAGTCTCAAAATCCGCGATGCCAACGCCTGCATCGCAGCCGCCCGGGCCCACAGCCTGGCAACACAAATCTTCCTGCTCCGCGCGGACGAGGGTGACTCAAGCACGTTGGCAGCCGAACGTCCCACAAAGCATCCCCTGGCTTTGGTGGAGCAGCTATCCGACGCCGTTGCCGCCGTGCCGCTCGACACGCATGCGGCGACCATGATGGTTTGGCCCGTGTTTGTGCTCGGCTGCGAGAGCATGGCGGTGAGCGCACGGCGGTATGAGGTAGAAGACCTGTTTGAGAGGATTATCGACAAGCAGAAGCTTCTCAATATCTCAGTGGCGCTCAAGATGCTGCGGGAAAATGTTTGGACGGGCGGTGTGACAAACACTGCGAGCCCTGCGAGTAATTTGTCCCCTGCAGAAGAGCCGTGTCGATATACACAGAATCAGTGGGTCAAAATGTGTTGGAAAGAGCGGCTGCAACTTTGTTCGGCATAGGAAAACTACATGTACCTTACAAGTTTGCAATGACCGCAGATCTCACGACTGTGCGTGCAATCTATGACGCAGTAACTACATGTACTCGTACGAGAGATGAGATAGAAGATGGGAGGCAATATTGGACTTTTGGATAATGATGATGATTCTATCTATATTCTACACATTTTGATCGCTCGAGGTTCTAAGTACAGATGTTTGATAAATAAAGGCTATTTGACAAGAATGTAACTGGTGACTGGTTCACAGTACAGTATTCGACATAGGAAAAGGGGGGTATCTTTCCGGTTTCCGTAGTACAGAGGGGATAAAAAAATTAAGACATCTTCTTCGCTTGCTCCTCCAAAGTTTGAATAAGTTTGCTTCTCTGCCGAATCTTTTTGCCCCACTTATAGAAGATAAAGGGGACGGGCATGAGCACGACCTCGGCGACACCGACCGTAATGCCCGCAATGCGCGGTGTCAGGGCGGCGTACATGCTCTTGCCGACGAGCACCAACACGGCGCCCAGAATAGATCTGAAGACGAGGTTACCGGCTGAGGCGGAGGTCGCGTACATGCCAAAGACTTTTGAGATGTAGCTGGTTCCGTAAATGAAGACGAGGCCGAAGCCGTAGCCGAAGGGGACACCAGATAGGACACTCCAGTAAAAGGGGATGTCGATGGGTAGGGAAGTCAGAGCGAATGAGAGCTGGCCGACGGGCTCGAGGACAGCACCGATGCAGATGAGAAGGACGACTGCCTCTGGCTCCTGTTGGCCAGTCTCCGGGTTCTTGGGTTGGCGATTGACCAGCTTTCTGAGAAGCGGCTCGGTGGCTAGGACGAGCGCGATACCGACAAAGACGCCGAGGAAGGCGAGACCAGAAATGGCGACGCTCCAGCCGCGCTCGGTGGTGTAGACAATAGGAAATGCGACGTAGGCCAACTGGACGATGGCGTAAATGACAGATATGTAAATGTTCCAGAACATGAGCACGGGCTCAGTGAAGGACAGGATGAAGGGACGGGACACGGCCGTCCTAATTCTGCGGAAAATAGGGACGGTGTCGTCAAAGTCGGACCAGTATCTGTGGTCTTCCTCTTCTTGCCTCTTTGCAGCAGCCTTCTTTCTCAGAAGTGTAGGCCGGTACGTCTCTGGGACGGTCATGATGAAGAGAGCTCCGACGGCTGTTGAGATCAATGACATCCAGTTGAGTGATCTCCAGCCGAAGGCTTCAACGAGAAATCCACCCTGTCATTATTGTTAGTGACCTGGGCCGAGGATCTTGAGTGATTGGAACTTACCATGAGAGGCCCGAGGACGGGACCGTTGAGGGGTCCGAATGAGTACACTGACATAGCCAGCGGCAAGTATTTGGGGTTCGTGATGTCCATGATGGAGCCGCCAACGTTGGAAAGCATGACACTTCCCGCGACAGCACTAGAGTTCGTGTGAGCAACTGATCTTATAAGTGAAGGAACAATGTGAAGGCGGCTTACCCTAAAAAACGTGCCACGATGACCATCGTGAAGTTGGTTGCCAATGCGGCGAGAGGGATCAGTCCCAAGAATACTGTCAGGCCTCCAATGTACATTGGTCTTCGGCCAAAGGTCTCACTCAAAGGTGCCATGATAAGGGCACCAAGGGCAAGACCGACGAGGTAAAGAGAGATACCGAGGAGAGGTAGTGAAGGGTTGGTGACGTTGAGCTCTTGGCTCATCTGGGTGATACCACTGGAGTAGGCCGTCGAGTAGATGCCCGTAGCCAGTGTCGTCAAGGCAAACATGGCGACGACGAGCACACGGTAGGCCGTCGACCAGTTCTTTGGGTCATCCGGGTCTCCATCCCAAAAGTCGACACGGAAGGCCT